AACAAAAAAACTTCACTTTTCTGGGGATCGAACCGTTGACCACTTGGTCAGTAGCGCGATGTTCTACCCCTGCGCCAACTGAACAAGGAGGAACTCACTCTCCTCCTTTCATCTGAACTGCCGTTCCTCCCTTCTCTGGGCAACTTGTCCGCATCAAGGAGGAATTGTCGCTTTTGCTAAATTTCTCCTCCCTTTTTTCTTAGAGTGTGTGTTCCCGTTATGGAGTGCCCTTTCCAATTCGTCCAGGGTAAAGGGTTGGTCCGTCGGATCCGTTGAGTTAGCCAGCACTGGAGCACACGGGTTCGGTATTGAGTTTGTTGTCGTAAGAATGGACTGCGGGAAGAATTGTTTTCAGGCCGCATCTCCGAGGTCTTCTACAGAAGTGTCAGTTTTTAGCGCCAGTGTTAGAGGGGCCTCCTGTAACCTCTTTTGTCCCAGCACGGATCTGCTGGTTGCCCACAGTTTTTTTATTGAAGCTTTCTCTGACAAGGACGCACTGTAATCCGGCCATCATTTTCGGTCCAAATATATTACGTGTTTGTGTGCCGCGATAACGTGTCTGGTGACCTCTCTGAGTGCCGCCGGTGTCTTGGGGCCCCTCCTATATCGCTGCAGCGCACGAAGTGTCTTAGCCCAGAGATTCAAGAGGTGAATGTCCGGGGTAGGTGCATTGGCAGGTATGTTGAATCTAAATGTAGCCGCTTTCAGTGCATCGAGCATTGCTGTCGAAAAGCATTCCGCTTGGCTGTTTTCCAGGTGTCTTAATTCAATAAAGGCCCCAACAGACCCTTTGCGAAAATCCCAACAGTTCGCGCGCACCGCGCGACGAATAAAGGAGTCATCGGTACGCCCCTCCTCCCGCTATCACGTGACCACGTGGCACACGCGAGCAGGCGCAGGTTACCACGGCAACGACTTTTGAGCAGCCGAGTTGGGCGAGCGACGAGTCAATGGCGGCTGCCCCTCTCTCATCCCTCTTCTTTGCACCGGCTCTGTCGTCTGCTGCACCAATGCTTCGTCGAACCTGGTCCAAACCTGCCACGGTTGCTTTGCGAACTAAATGGATTCGCTGACACTTCAATATGTGAAGGTATGTTACGACGAATAACGTATTGAAATAAGTTCATCTGTCGCGATGCCTTTACGCTGCCACAGATACGGTACGCCGCCAACGACGTACGACTAGGCGGATGGGCGGGAATGCGGAGGGCTGCAACCGCTGCTGGCGGTAGCTGCCGGGACGCGCGCGCAGTTGTGGAGGCGCAACGAGAAAGCGTGTGATCTGTACCGAAGGTTCTTGAAAGTCCCTGCCGTCGTGGCGCTGTGCGTTTTGCAAAGGGTCTATTCACTGTATGAGCGAAACGCCGGTTCTATTCGGACCTCTCGGAGTTTACCTCGATCTTTATAGGGAAGTGGTCACTCCCCCATGTGCCGATGTTTAGATGCCAGAAGAGGTTTCCAGTCTTCCCGTCAAGCCGAGTCTCGTTGTTGAGCCCGGTCTGTTTAGTAGTGTGTACTTGAACCGCATCATGTCCTCCAGGAGTTTCTGGCCGTTTATGTTGTCTACTTTGTAGCCCCAACTGGTATGTAGCAAGTTGAAGTCTCCTCCTATAATCCTTCGTTCTTTTGGACAGAGGATGTGTAGTCGTTCTCTCGACCCGTTGTCTCTTGGTGATTTGCTGCTAGCCCTTGGCCTGCAGTATACAGATGCGATGATTACGGGTGTTCCTTGATGCGTTGCACGGACTGCGACGACTTCTTGTTTGTCTGTGCACCATCGCATCAAGTCAATTTGATGCTGTGGCCAGTCCGATTGCAAATGCACTCTGGCTTGCCTCATGGGCACGTCTTGGTTGGGCTTGCGGCCTTATGGGATCGACAAGCTGGAGTGTGAAGTGCAACTTGTCAGGTTGATGACGGTTGTCTTTACTTCTTGTAACATAATTGCATCTGGACGTTTTGATGGTCTGCTCAAGTCTCCTGCGTTGAGTTTTGCGGCCTGTAGACCCGGTACTCTGCAGTTTTATTGAAAAATGCTGATCCATATTTTTAACGACCAAGTTTAAAAGCAATGACAGTGAGCTGTTGGCTTAGCGCTGAGAGTTGTTTCTCCAGCCTTGTAAACCGAACCTCGCAGCTGTCTCCGTCAAAAGTTGTGGTACCCCGGACTAACTCGGCGTAAATCATTTAGAGTATCGGTGGGGGGGGGGGGGGGGGGGTGGATGGATCAGATTAAATGGAGGTTGCAGCGGCGGTGGTGGGGGCGCCTCTTTCTTCCTCCGGGATTCTTGATTGGGTTTCGCGTGCTTCCTTGCCCTCTCCCTCAGAAACTTCCCAATCTCTGTCTTCTTCGGGCAGACATTGCTCGTCACCAAGTGTACCTTTTTTTTACAGATCTGGCAGTACGGGTTCAAATTTGGGCACCGGTTGCTGTTACCTTAGTCATCTTGGGTTTCCTCGTGGTGTTTGCCGCACAAAGAGCAAACCGTCTGGCAGATGTCTTGCTTGGGACCTGTGCCGTGGCAGTTTGTGCATGTCACCCCCTTGGCTCTATATGAGTACACTGGGGTGATGCAAAGCGCTTATCTAATGAACCTTGGCAATCGATTGCCCTCGAACGTTATCATCGCTGTGCGTCCTTTTTTTCCGAGAAGTCAGGCCATGACGATGTCGTAGGTGTTGCATCGAAGCCTGTCCCTGAGGAAGGTGTTTTCCTCACCCTCGTCTACTTCATTTATGACCCCTCAAATTAGGTTATACTGCAGTGTTTGGTAGGCTTGTACGGGAATCGCTACTTCGTTAGCAACTGGAATTCCATTGATCTCCAGTAACGTCTTGGCGGTAAACCCAGATGATGTTTGTGCGGAGATGGTATTGCTCTACTTCTATATATATATATATATATATATATATATATATATATATATATGGGTGATTTCATTCGAAATCGTGCAGGCAAAAAGGGTCGAATTTTTAATTTCGCTGAAAAAATATATGTTATGGCGTCGTCTCTAAAAACGCAGTAGTCACAAATCGCAAGTTCGTCAGATTTTTTGTTCTCGACTTACGAATTTTAAAAATGGCCGCGGCGGAAAGCAGTGTTTTTCACATGCGTCGTAAGTCGAATGTTTCGCTGAACCTCCCGCCGTGGATTTTCAGTCCACATTATATTGACTTTTTTTCACGCACTTTGTGAACACGTTTAAAAGGCTCTAATTCCATAAGATTGTTTTGGACTTTTTTTTCTTTTTTCTGTACAAATGTCAAAAACGCCTCCTCGGTCAATTGTTGACGAACTTTGACAATTAATTACTGACGATTTACTTGGGTTACATTAATATTTTTTTATCTCCACGGAGAGCCGAAAACACTTTCTTTATATGCATTATAACATGACTCGGCTGTATAAAATATCCTTTGCGTGACGTTTACGTTAGTATTATGCGAAAACCAAAAAGTACCATTTTTGAAACCGATTTTCTCAAAAAAACCATTTTTTTTTTATTTTTTGTTAAAATATAGATATGATAGTTGTCTACGCGAAAAGCAAGTCGAGAAAGTGTGTATTTTGTTCGCATGCTCTATATTTAAGCGTCAATATTGCACAAAAATGTGTTTTTATGACTCGAAATGGACTTGCGAATTGCGCGCCTTGACAAACGGTAAAATATTTTTCGCTCTTTTTTAACGTTCCCACATAAAAATGAAATACAGTATTTCCACCCTGTTCTATTTATTGAATATTTAAGTTTTATTATCGGCGGCAAGCTACATTGGAGGAGTTCAAAAGAGAAAGCAACACTTCTAAACAGACCAGGAGGCGTCGTAAATATTGAATGTGTAGAAATCGGCAGATGTCGTATTGATTCGGGGCCTCCATTGGCCTATATTAACGTCCCGCCCTTTCGGAACCAGCAGATGACCACAACCTTTCGCGCTCGTTGTGTTAGATAGGACGGCCGGTGACAGTAAAGCGAGCAGCGCACCCTGGTGTCACGAGGAGTGAAATGGTACGAATGTGTCGTTGAAGCGGCGAACATCTTTCTCCGCGGAGATCCGATAGCACCGAAGGGTTATCTCTTTTGGAAACAGCTAAGCCCGGAGATTGACATTAAAAACGAGAGTGTTGGTAAATATGCTTGTGTTTATTCTGCCCGGAGACTAGTTGGGTCGAAGTCAGCCTTCTTGTCAAATATAACCGTTTGTGAAGAGTGGCCTTCTCCCGCGATGAAAAGTTAGCGCCGGCTGACGTGTTCTTTTGAAAAAAGGAAGGGGAAAGAGAAAGTTTGAGGAACTGCAGTAACTAACTCGAAAGCTCCTGTCCCGATATGAGGATCGAGGCATGTTATGTCTCGGTTACCTTCTCGCGCATCGCAGCTCGAATCTATCCTTCACTATGTTCCGCACAGCTACTGTTCCCCACAGCCGTCGTGGATATGCGTAATAGAGTGAAGAACAGATTTGAGCATCATCTGGACACCGTTATCCTGCCAGGCTTCAGTGTCGTGGGACTGGACACGGTATCGGTCAGCTAAGACTTTTTTTTTTCGTGTGTGTTTCTTCGTTTCGCTGAACTTTGTTTCTCGGGAGCGGTTTTGCTGAACGTTTTCTTAAATGTTTTATGACTAACTGTTTGTTAGCATTGTTTACTTGGGTTTATTTTTTCATGGCGTAGCGGCCTGACGGTGCTGTAGAGAGCGTGTTCGCACGCATTCGGTTGTGTCCCGTTTAGGGAATGCCCGGTGGAGTTGGTTTTTGTTCTTGCCATGTGCGGCTGAGTTTTTCCGTCTTTATTAAAGTTTTTTTTTAGCTTTATGTGTTGTCGACTTCTTTGTCTGACTCTCCACCAGGCGTGAACTTATCGCCTTGCCACCGCTCGAACCTAAATCTTTTATTTTTTTTTATTTTTAACGCAATTTTTGTTAAGGTGGGTTGGTAATTTCATTATTATTTAATATTCTGAACCTGAATCTCCACTTTATTTTTGTCTCGCCTTGCAGGTACTACAGTCACCAGAATCCCCTGGAGGGTAGCTGCAGTACAGCGTGTCGCTTGAAGATCCTCTGCGAACAGAAAATGTCGCGATCATCCGATGTACAGTCCTGCTAGCCCGCTCTGACAAAATATTAAAAATCAATTATGAGGTAATTAAATTTACAACAAAGGTGTAAAAAGCGAGAAAGAAAGCGGTAATAGCGTGACAGTGTTCCTGCCACCTAAGTTTGACAACCTTACGCGCAGGAAAGTAATAAATGTATTTCAACGGGGAACAGTACGATAGAACCAGAAAAAATACTATGAGTTGGACAAAAGAAATCGGCACAGCTAATTCCTGCACATTGACAAGAATTCTAAACGCTGAAACTTAGCGCGACACTATGTTACGATACGCCAGCTGAACATTGTCGTTTACAGTACGTTTCCAAACCAAGAGCAGTTTTTTATGTTTAATTTTGTTCGCTTGATACGGGTGTGTAGTTTCTGGAATTCATTAGTTAATATCTTGTTGTGCCCAAATAAACAATTTCATCTTATGCACTGGCTCTAATAATCATTTTATTACAGCCTTGCGTTGTTCAGTTCCGTAAATGAAAGGGTCACGTGAACTCCGGTCTTAAATTTGAGTTACTTATAGTTGCTTACACTGCTTTTCCTTGCTCAAGGCGGTCGTAGGGGCAGCTACCGAACTTAGTGCTTTGACACATTGGAGAAGTTGGACAACTCTATCCAGCAACACGAGGGAAACATGTTTTCGGTGATCCTGTCACATTGACGAAAGAGCAACTGTCGGGAAACATGTTTCTTGCCGCCTGGCAACTATGTTCGCCGATTCGTTTTGAGACAGTCGAAAAACAGCTTGTCACACCGCGCTGACAGAGGGGCCAACACAGGCAACACTCCGCCTTCTTTATTGTTTACCTTCGTTCGTGTGCGGTGCGGCATTGCTAGAAATTGGACTCTATAAAGTGCTAGTGCGTTCGAGGTGTCGGAAATTACCACGGGGCGGCATCTACAAATGACTGTGATTAGAGATCTTGACACGAGGAATATTTTCCACCCTTTATTTTATCAGAATGTTCTTCATTCTCTTACGAAGCAGCTGACCCTAACCGAGGAAAGTGATGCCGCGTCACCGTATGAAGTGTTTCTGTTATACTCCTTCTTTTATGCATTCGCCATATTTAGTGTAAAATTGAGTCGGCACCTGCTGTACCCAAAAGTGTCTTTTGGATACCGCGATTTTGACAATCGCGTTTCGTATCTACGGAGTAAGAGCATTCAACAAATTATTTTAACTGCTGACCATCCTTGACTGTTGAATATCGTATTCCAAGCATTTATTCGAGTAAGCTCTTAAATATACGTCGTCATTTATAGGCATCGTTGCCATACAAGCTTTCCGTGTTGTATTGTTGGCAGCACAAAATTAGCTCATCTGCCAATCTCGGCAGTACGCGTCGTCCAGCATAAGATGCTGAGCACTGCTTTTGTTGCCGAAAACTGTCACACCGGGGCAACATTGTCCCTATTGCCTGTTTTGCCGTCTTTTTTAATGATGGAAGCACTTTATCTCAGAAAACTTCAGATTTTGTTAATGTTGCCGAAAAAACAACAACCTCGAGGTGGTTTTTAGCGGAATGTTAAGAAGCACCAACAATAAACAAACAAAAATCCACAGATGTTTTATTGTTTTTGATACTGCATTCAAGTGCCGCTGTTTTTATGTGATGTATCTATTCTTTTTCATAATGCCCATGCTGCCCCTAAAGAAAAGAGAAAATACAGTGATACTGATTATAAACACTGAAAAATGGCAGCCCAGTGATAATTGACAACACAGCCACTTCTCTGCTTGTCTCCGCCTGAAATTTTAAACAAAATGTGTGTAAGATATAGTGTCGGTATCATAAGTTTTGTTTTACTATGTACATCATGTCTCCCCAATAGTGCCCGACCTAAAAGTGCCCAACCTAAAAGTCAAGACTTCACTTAAAAGTTGTAACTTACCTAGAATATGTCTCCGAGGTACGTATATTTAGGCAGTGTCCAGTGTCCACTCTCACCACAAAAAACTTCCCTCCTACCGCTGTATCAATGGCAATACTTAAGACATTTATACTCCCAAAGATTATTACATCGATATTGGTAAAAGCATTTATTTATTTGTAATGTTCTCCGTATGAGGTATTAAACTTCAAATATTGATAGGTGATGTGAATCAGTAAAAGCCCTATTAATTTCATTTCATTTCATTTATTTACTCTCAAGGCCGAGGCATTACAAAGAGAAATGGGTTGTCAGCGCCAAGCGCTTTCCGCGCGGAGAGCCACCGAGCCTGCCAGACAGAGACCCAGACAGTCGACTGAAAATTTCGTCCAGACTGGGCTTTCCCATTGCACCTCCGTAGAGCCCCCAGAATCGGGCCCCCCGGTTTACGTGACCCGGGTGGGATTCCGAGGCGAGAGGAGCGAGGCGTCGGGTTACGCCTCACCGAGGAGAATCCCCTTCGCAACAGGGACAACTCCGGGACACCGTACGGTACGGACGGGACGACCGCTCTTCCCTCAAACATAATGTAAACTTGCGTAACCGATTGTAATCCCAGTTAATAAACGTCGTGTTAATTTTAAATCAGCCTCAATCTACGCCTTTAACTTGCAAGCACCTACGAACTCCCAAAAACCCAACGCATAATTTAACATGGCGCAGCCGACATCAAGGGAGGGTACGAGCGGCCACACACCGTCAACGAGCGTCAACGAAAGCGGAACCAAGGAACGACGCTTTACGGTCGACGACATTTTGAACGCAGTGAACGCTTATGATCTTCAACTCTTTTCCAAATATGAGCTGGTAAAAGAATTGAGGTCTCGTCATCTCCCATGCAGCGGACCGAAAAAGCAACTCATCCGCAGGCTTCTAGACGACAACGCTAATCGACGAGGAGCTGAAGGCACGGTGGAAACCCTCACGTCCGTCCGCGAGACTCGCAACGAACAGCAAGCTCGCACCGAGGAACTCTCCACAGCTAACGACAAGCTCCAAGCTGATGTCGAACGCCTACAAGCCGAAATGCAAAGCCTCATCAAAACTGTGTCTTTGACGAAGGCATCCGACGTTCCCGACGACACAGCAACGGCTCCTAGCAACGGCCCGACAGTGCAACGGCTGGAGCCAAGCAACATCCCAGCGCGACCAACGCCCACGCAGAGCAACGTCATCACTCCCGAAGTTCCCCCGCAAACACCGACTCCACACGAAAACGAACGACACAAAATCACCAATCTCCTCGGGATGATCGTCGAGACGCAAGCCCGAATCTCAAAGTCCATGGCACAACAAGGACAACCACTGCACACAATGAATGACACCTCAACAGCAATCCCCATCTACGACGGTGCCATCGAGACCAACATCAAACACTGGATCGCCGAGGTGGAACGTATCGCAGCCCTAGCTCATTGGACACCTCAAGTTGCCCTCGTGAAAGCCATTTCACGACTCCGCGGATCAGTGAAAGATTGGCAATCCTCATACGGATCAAAAATCAACGATTGGGACCCTTGGAAAAACGAGATCACGGGGATGTTCAAACGAAAAATGACCATGCAGGAATTCCTCGAGTTCAAGAGAAGCGACAACTCGTCGAAAGTGAATCGATCGTCCAATAATTTACTCTAAAAACGCAAAGCTTGACATGGCATCATATACGCTTACCATGGAAGAACGATTAGCGATACTTGTGATGTGGTCCTAGTGAGTTTGTCATCACATGTTATCATAAATTATAATTTCTAGGAAGAAATGGGCATTGAAACAACATCGTTAATGAAGTAGTCACATGGTAACACATAACTATATGACGTGAAATTCTCATCGACTTGCATTTGGTAGAGTTAAGTTTCCTTAACGAGGTACCATACGAAGATGAAATATAATCTGGGTCAAACTAAAGAGCAGAACGATCATCAGGGTCCAGAATTTGGCGATAAATAGCACAATCGTCAACAAAAAGTTTGATAGGTGAAGAAATTGAGTTAGGCAGGTCGCTCATATAAACAAGAAAAAGCAAGGTCCCAAGCACCGCCCTTGCGGGACACCAGACGTTACGGGGCAGTGGGGGGAGTTGGCAGTTACAAATTGCCTGCACTTGGACAAAAATCATTTTATTGATTTTAAAATATTAGGGTCACGGCTAATTTTTTTTCTAGTTTATAGAGGAGGTGACTATGAAAGACATTTTCGAAATCTTTAGAAACGTCGATGAGAATGCAGTCAAACGTGATTAAACAATCCATAGCAGAGAATAAGTATTTAGTGAAGCAAGTAGTTGAGTTTCAGAGTAATCTTTCCTAAAGCAGTGTTGATGAATACTGAAAATGAATTCGTTTCAAGGAAGGACACAACGTGACGGTAAATGACATGCTGCGTGAGTTTGCACGGCATGCTTGTTATTGAAATGGGTCTATAATTATTGGGAGAATGGGTGTTACCTGACTTGTACAGATGAACCACTTCCTCTACTTTTTAGTCGTTCGAAAATGTACATAATTATAACGACTGTGCAAAAATCCTTGATAATAATATAGAAGAATGCACTTCGGTGTTCTTCAAAAATGTGGCATTAAAGCCGTCACCATTAGGAGAAGAGGCAAGCTTCATATTTTGTATTATTTACATATACTTGCACAGTCAATAACCATTGTATCCACCGGGAAGAAATTTATAACCGGAATATCGCGAAGCGCAGCCGGTGTAATGTGAACAAAGAACAATGAGGATACAGAGCTTAAAACAACACAGCAACTCTCCCTAGGAACGACCAGTTCGCTTTCAGTAGTAAGCTCAATTGGTTTCTTGTAATTCCCGTTCACCACGTGCTAGAACTTGAGTAGATTAGTTACCAGTAGTGATGGAAGAATTTGATTAAAAAACTTATATTGTCACGGGTGGTGACCAAAAAAAATAGGAAATAAACAGGAAGAAATAAACGTTTAATGTGGCGAACTTGTGCCAAAAAAAATAAAAGGGGTACAACGATAATAACAGAGCGTCGCGGGCGTCGAAGTCGGTGGAGCAGCACAGTCGAACGCTGGGGCGAAAAACTGAATTCGCTCGCCTGGCGGAATCCCTTATGTACCCTCGTGGGTTTCTGGATCGTTCGGCGTAGAAGGTTCGGTGTGTAGAACATTCTAACCTGGAATCAGCAAGACGGTTCTCGAATTCACTAGAACATCAAATTACACTGTCAACAAAAATGTGTAGTCGCGGCCAGGAATCGAACCCTGGCCTTCTGCGTGGGAGGCAAGCTCGATAACCGTTAGGCCACGCGCGCGCTGCCTACTTGTCCAGCTGCGCGCGCGGCATTACTCCCCCCTTTAAAAAGTGCATCGTCCCGATGCAACCCAAAACAAAACAAAGCACATAAAAAGAACGGCAAACTAAAGAGTCACTTGAAGCACATAAGATCCACAGTCCTATCGAGCGTAGTACGGCTTCAGGCGCACGACGTGGACGACTTCAGGTCGTGGTG